AGGATCAGAACTGCAGTGGCTTTGGATCAGAAGCAGAGACAGCAGAGACAGCAGCAGATCACTCACCTTTCCATTGAGACTGGAAACTCCTGCAGAACAAACACACAGTTAATCATCAACAACTCAATCAATCAATCAATCAATCAATGATCTGAAATCAGACCTTCAGAAAGGAGACGTCACTGGCTCTCATCATCTCCTCCGTGTGTGTGTGAATGTGTGAAAGAGCTGAGATGTGTCTGTTCATCTCCTCCAGCTTCTCCTTCATCATCTGCTTCTTCTGCTCCTCTTCCTCTCTCAGTGCAGTGATTGTAGCTTCTTCTTCATCTCTGAGAAACTGATGAAGCTTCTCAAACTGCTGTTTAATCTGACGCTCTGTGTGCTCGGCTTGAGACTGAAATCAAACCACATTCACTTCAATCGTCTCACTCGACACACATCAACACAATCGCATCATTCAGATCTGAGAGAAACTCAGATACAGGCATATAACAGATCTAGAAGCAGATCACTGCTCGTCATTAACAGAGATAATCAACTGGAGTCCATTATATTAAATATATCAGATCATAACTGTATATAGTGATCCTACAGCTGTAATGAAAATGACTCTGGATTCTGTTTCCTCACCACGATGTGTTGAACTGTTTTCTCAAACTCTTTTTTCATTTCTTCATGGTGTTTCAGATTCTCTTGTAAGGGCTTCAGTGATGTATTGAGCTCCTCCTAGAATTGAACAAAAATACATGAAACACCAGATTATAGTACTTTGTTGAAAACGAAGTGTTTGAGAGAGGCGGGGCATAGAGGACCTACAATAATGTACAGTATTTGAAAAAGAATGTGTTTTTTGAACATTAAAGCATGTCAACATATTCTGTTACACCAAATACACAAAATAATGATCTTTAAAAAAGCATCATATGACCCCTTTAAATAAACTGAATTTTTTGCTTTCTACCAGAAAATCCTAAGAGAAAACCCAATCTTCAGTCTGTAAACTGAAGTTCAAATGCAACTGGATTATGCAGCAAGACAATGATTCATAGCACAGGAGTAAATCCACCTCTGAATGACTCAAAAAAGCACAGTTAAAGTTTGACTGAACCCAATGGAGATGATGTGGCAAGACCTTAAACAGGCAGTTCATCAAAAGTGGGCCAAAATCCCACCAGCTGAGAAAGGCTGATCTGCAGTTATCGCAAGCACTCAGCTGCAGACGTTGCTGATAAAGGGAGTGATAGGCGTTGAATAACTTTTCTTTTTTTTTTTGGCTTAAAAACGAAACTGTATTTTGTGTTTACTCCGGTTGCGTTTACGCCTTTGTTTTATGTTGTATTTTATTTGAAGATCTAAAACTGTTTAGTATGAGACACAAAAACTGAAGAAATCAGGATGGTCCAAATACTTTTTCACATCCCAATATCATATGAACAGTGTTGGGGGTAATGCATTACAAGTAACGTGAGTTACGTAATCTGATTACTTTTTTCAAGTAACTAGTAAAGTAATGCATTGCTTATATATCGCCAGTTTGTTGACTGACAGCTCTCCTGTCCTCATGCTGAGAGAAATCAGGAGCTAGTGCAGAGGCCTTGTGTGCATTGTGTAAACATGATGTTACTGTAGATCTAGACTAAATGTCAACATGCATTAATTCATATCACTGCACAAAACAGATTCAGTATTCCTCAAAGCAGTGAAATGCAAAATCAGAATACAAGGCAAACCTGCAATAATGAAATGATAAACAACACAAATATCCTTTATGCATTTAATCTCATTTTATTAACCTTTGCTAATGATCGCATCCAACCATACTAATGAGCAAAATGACTTTAGATAAACATAACATTTGTGTTTCCTTTTTTTATTGCCGAAAAGAGAAAAACAGTAACGCAATTAATAACTTTTTTTAGAGAGTAACGCAATATTGTAATGCATTACTTTTAAAAGTAACTTTCCCCAACGCTGCATATGAAGTTGAGAAAATGCATGGCTGAGTGAAATATTTGGTGCATGAATGTGATGCGTGTTTATGACTCTAAACAAGAGACATTTGTCTTACCTTATAAGATGAAACCGCTTCACCGATGGGTCTGAATGTGTGATTGTCGTGTTTCTGTGAATTAATACACACTAAACACACCGGCTGTTTGTCCTCCAGACAGAAGAGCTTGAGTTTCTCTCTGTGCAAACTGCAGATCTCCTCAGACTCTGATGAACGCCTCTCATTTCTCTCCTTCAGGAACGACTCGCACAGGTTTTTTAACGCAAGGTTAACTGGAGGATCGTGTTTGGAGTCTCTCCTGCAGACAGGACACTCCTGAGTTCCCTTGGTTGTCCAGAACTGCTGAAGACACTCTTTACAGAAACTGTGACTGCATGATAAAATAACAGGAGTCTTGAAGATCTCACAGCACACGGGGCAAGAAAGCTCGTCTGCGGATACATTCAGTGACGCCATGTTCAGCGATCTGAACTTTACTTTCACTTTCGGGAAGAAGAGAGTCAAGGCGCAGGGCTCGGCTCTCTGTGCATCGCGCAATACATCTGAGCTGATCTGACAGAAGCCAGATCTAATCGTGATGACTGACCTGTGGCTATTCGGGTCTTCAAACGATTTTGCGGATTTGATTAAAATATCTGGAGTGAGTTGTGAGATATTGCTGCGTGTTCATTGGGAAGGGCAGATATATCGATACTCGAAAGCATGATCAGCAATGCAGCGATTGGCTGGCGTCAGGAGAGCAGCGATGCATTCCGGACAGCATCCTCCATGTTGAGCTACAACGCTGTAACAAGCGCAACAACGAGATATATTTGAGCGACGTCAGGTTTAATTCATCTCTCTGGCAATATCATGTTGTGGTCTTGTTGAAGAACAGCTGCCCATCTTGTGATATAACCAATACATTTTGGGTTGATTTAAAGGGGTCATATGATGTTGCTAAAAAGAACATTATGTTGTGTATTTGGTGTAATGAAATGTGGTTATGCAGTTTAAGGTTAAAAAAACATTATTTATCACATACTGTACATTATTGTTTCTCCTCTATGCCCCGCCTTTCTGAAACGCGTCGATTTGTACAAAGCTCATTAAAAAGCGAGGTGTGCTGTGATTGGCCCGCCTTTCTGAAACGCTTCGATTTTTACAAAGCTTGTTGGTCTGAAAAGCGAGGTGTGCTGTGATTGGCCAGCTATCCAGTGCGTTGTGATTGGCTGAATACCTCAAGCGTGTGATGGAAATGTTACGCCCCTCGCCATAAACATTCAAACCCATTATAAATGAGGCATTTGTTGCATCCAGTGGGGACATAATTACGGATTATAATGACTTATACTGTCTTTTTACACGTTGCATTGCATCGTGCCACGTAAACATAAAACCATGTCTGCATTTGTGATCGGAGAAATGACAAACAAGCGTTACTCTACACTGCTCAAAACTCACGTTTGAATCATCAGTGGCAAATCCTTTAAATGAAAACATACTTACAGTCTGTGAGTCAGAACAGCCGGCATTGTAGTTACTCTCCCAGGATCAGGAAACAGTCCTCCATAAAATGCGCTGCACACATCTGAATATTTGGGTTGAAGTGTTCTGGAACAGTGTTGTAAATACAACTTAACCACTGATTTCTAGTCGTGTCCTCTTTTGGAAGACCAAACAAAGTAGTTTGTCTAATTTGACCATAACACCTTTCTCCATGTGGCCTCAGAGTCTTCAAGGTGCGTTCTGGCAAAGCTCAGTCATGACTGCATGTGGCGTTTCTTGAGGAGTGGCTTTTTTCTTGCAACCCTCCCATACAAGCCACATTTGAGGAGAATTTGTTATATTGTTGTCACATGCACACAATGACCCCTCTTTGTCATAAATTCCTGCAACTGCTTCAGAGTTGCTGTAGGCCTCTTGGTCGCCTCTCTGACCAGTTTCCTCCTGGCTCATTCATAGAGGGATGTCCTGATCCAGGGAGGGTCTGTGTTGTACCAAATACCTCCCACTTCTTAATAATAGACTTCACTGTGCTTCAAGGCATTGATAAACCCTTTGAAAAAATGTTGTATCTATCTCCTGACATGTGCCTGTCCACAACTTTATCCCTGAGATCTTTTGACAGTGCCTTGCCACCCATAGTTGATTGTTTGCTTCAGTTGCTCAACCAAGGACTGAAAAGCTCCAGGAAAGCTCTTTTCTTGCTGAGCTGATCAAAATGAGCACAGCTGATCACAGTTCACATGGCTTTGTGTGCCATTGAGAAGGTGACCAGTTACACCTGATTGAGTTTACAAGGCATTTTTTGGAGGGGGTGATCCTTTTTCCAACTCAGTGATTCTGTTTTTTGTTTTTTTTGGTGCTATATCTTTCACTTGGATGTTATCAGTTGCACTGAGTAAATACTGCTGGATAAAATAAAAATGGTGTCCATCTTCATTTCAGGCTGCAAAGCAACAAAATGTGATTATTTTAAAGAGGCTGATTTTTTTTCTACCAACTGTAATTAAGGAAATTAGCACCAGATGCCAGATAAACACCAGTAATTTTGAGGTATTTATAAGTGTTATCTAATTTTGATCAGAGTTCTTTTTCAAATATATCATTTAAGTTTTTTATACTTTGCTTTAGAATAAAATTAATTTAAGAAATATGCTTAAAAAAAACTGCCCTTTTACTGTATGTAAATAAAGTTGCTCAACCAAGGACTGAAAAGCTCCAGGAAAGCTCTTTTCTTGCTGAGCTGATCAAAATGAGCACAGCTGATCACAGTTCACATGGCTTTGTGTGCCATTGAGAAGGTGACCAGTTACACCTGATTGAGTTTACAAGGCATTTTTTGGAGGGGGTGATCCTTTTTCCAACTCAGTGATTCTGTTTTTTGTTTTTTTTGGTGCTATATCTTTCACTTGGATGTTATCAGTTGCACTGAGTAAATACTGCTGGATAAAATAAAAATGGTGTCCATCTTCATTTCAGGCTGCAAAGCAACAAAATGTGATTATTTTAAAGAGGCTGATTTTTTTTCTACCGACTGTAATTAAGGAAATTAGCACCAGATGCCAGATAAACACCAGTAATTTTGAGGTATTTATAAGTGTTATCTAATTTTGATCAGAGTTCTTTTTCAAATATATCATTTAAGTTTTTATACTTTGCTTTAGAATAAAATTAATTTAAGAAATATGCTTAAAAAAACTGCCCTTTTACTGTATGTAAATAATGGTCAGAAACTACAGGGATCAATAAATAAATACAGATAAAAAATTATGAAATAACTTTGATTTATTATGATAGATTTTATTAGACAGAGAGATGCACACAGACATGTGCTGTTTAGAATGCTTTTGTGTTGAAGAGCAGTTTAATCCCATTATGTTCTCCATCCTAAAATGCAAACAAGTTATGTCTGAACTATGGTTAATGGTGCAACGTAAAAATATTTGGTAGTGTGTAAGTTTAGTGCCCCTTTACATCAAAACTAGTTTAAGTTGTAACTTGCTGGGTTCGCACTGCACAATTTTAGCCCTAATTTTCACTTCCTGATAGTTTTGTGGAAATCGCCAACAAATGCCCAAAATCGGAGGCAAATCGGTGCTTGTTCACATGAGTGACAATCGTGCAGTGTGTATTATCAAAAACACAATCTGAAAAGCACAGACACGTCGCTAATGCCCATGAGATATTTGGCATGCTAAATATCTGGACCTGTCTGTGACTCACAGTCCTCTAGAAATGTGTCCTCTACAGCCAATGAGAAAGCACGGTAAAGGGCACGGGAAAGTTCAGTGGGAGGAGTCATAATAGACCTACAGCCAATGAGAGAGCACAAAACAGGGCAAGGGAAAGTTCAGTGGGAGGAGTCATATTCGACCTATAGCCAATGAGAGACCAGATACAGGGCAAGGAAAAAAGTTCAGTGGGAGGAGTCATAACAGACCTACAGCCAATGAGAGAGCACGATACAGGACAAGGGAAAGTTCAGGGGGTGGAGTCATAGATCTGCAACAAAACATAAGCATGAAGGGCTTCTGCAAGCAACCATTCTTCTCCTCCTTTTTTATCCTATATGTTTCATTGCAAATCAGTGTACAGCCAAATTAGATTGCAAGCTATTTGCAGGCATTTTTGATAGGAATAAATCCATTCTCGTGTGAAACGTCTGTCTCGCGAGTGAGCTTATGCTATTTCATGTGTCAATTCTCGCATGTGTTTGGTTGTGAAACAGTTTATAAACAAGGCAGATTTGTTGGCGATTACTCCTCTTGAAAAGTTGTGTAATGTGTGACTCCCTGTCACCGATCTGTCGTGAAGTGTGCACACAACAGCAACTAGTTCAGGGGTGCCCAAACTCGGTCCTGGAGGGCCGGTGTCCTGCAGAGTTTAGCTCCAACTCGCCTCAACACACCTGCTTTCAAGTTTCTAGTATGCCTAGTAAGAGCTTGATTAGCTGGTTCAGGTGTGTTTAATTGGGGTAGGAGCTAAACTCTGCAGGACACCGGCCCTCCAGGACCGAGTTTGGGCACCCCTGAACTAGACGATACCCCAGACAGTCGTGCAGTGTGAGAAGAACAGCGATCCAATGACTTTGAAAATCCTGCAGTGTGATCCCGACATTACACACAGCTGGTACTGTTGTATAAGAGCAATATGAGAGTGTGAGTGTTGCTGTAGTTCTGATATCAGTCATGTGATCATCACGGCCCAATCACAGAAGTACTGATATTCAGAACAACAGTCTCTTACTCGTGTGATATGAATTGAATATAGGAAACATAATGAAAGCAGGAAGATCCAGATCTACAGGAGTAACGTTTACTAACTACTGAACGGTAAAATATTAAGAGTGAAAATAGTATAACAGCAGAAGAATGGGAAGACGGTGTCAGTGAAGGAGGTTGTGAATGTGTGTAGATGTGTGTTAGTTACAGGATCAGAGAATGACACTGTCCCTCTGTCATAGTCCAGATACACTCTCACACGCTCAAGATCCTGTTTAACACGAAAGCCAAAGACAGGCTGCTCAGACAGGCTGTACTGATCGTACCACACACTCCAAACACAAGTCTTATAGAAATCCCGTCCCTTCCTCGGGTTTGTTGCTGTAGTTACTCCAAGACTCCAGTCTGAACTCTGTTTAACCTCCACATCCCAGCAGTGTGTTCCTGAGTTAAAACCCTCTGAACCCAGGACACAGGGATAACAGTTAAACCTCTCTGGATTATCAGGAAGTGGTTGTTTGTTCCAGCTCCATTTCACACTGGTCAGATCATCAGACAGAACCAGATCTGGATGAGCCGTGTTTGGATCCAGAATCACGGGAGCTGATGAGACACAATCAACAATCATCACAGATTATTATGAATCTACTGATCAAACACATCAGATGTTTTCTTCTTATCATGTTTACATGCACTGGGATTGATGCTCAATCGGACCAAAACTTTAGGACTTTTCACACTGCACTTAACTCGGGATTATTCTGATAGTAAGCTCCGCTTTTAACCTCTGGGTAAAGGAACATTTCACACTTGTAATTTAGAAGAGGGGTTAGCACAACTTTTTACCCGGGATTATGAAATCCTGCTCCGGTTTTCTTAAAAATAATACATCAACATTTCCAAAAATCTCATAGATTCAGAGGTGGACTTACCCATTAGGCAAAGGTAAGCAATGCCTTGGGCCCCCTAAAATGCTTTTCATATATGAGATAGCGCAGACACACAAGTGGTTGCTGTGGTGTTCATTATCACGACAACCATCCGCATGCACAGTTACTTTCCACACAGCCAATCAACTCTGACACACCACTGAATGCACTATGTTCTTCATTTTTGGGTGATATATAACCCTTGGTACATGTATAATTTCATTTTGACTATTGTTTTCAGTTTCATTTAAATTTGTGGTTATAATAAATATAAATGTATTTAAAATTTTAGAATTAGACAGCCTTTGAAAATTACCCCACCTAGTGTCCAACCTACTCTAACACGGTTTTAACCTGTTTAAATGTGAATACCGCACTGGGTGAGGTAAAAAAATAATGTTCTGTGTGTGATTTCACCATGTAGCCCTCAGTTGCTCTTTTGTGGTCTACAACATGAAAGAAAGCCGTTATAACATGCACATGAAAAATGTAGAAACATTGCACACAACTTGCAGCAGCAAGCATCACAACAGAGAAAGGAACCTCAAGGTTGATCCAGGTAAATGTGTGCAAATTTATAGGGCCCCATTCCTATATTTTTGCCTGGGGCCCCTAAATCACTAAATCCGCCCCTGCAAAGACTTACACTGACAGAATGCTCAAATGAGCCAAAACTATTAAATCTCCAACTGTCAAAAATTTAACAATTTAATTGGAAAATTTGGACAATTAAATCTAAACACCCAGAAGCCCTTAAAGGGACAGTTCGCCCAAAAATGAAAATGTGATGTTTATCTGCTTACCCCCCAGGGCATCCAAGATGTAGATGACTTTGTTTCTTCAGTAGAACACAAACGGAGATTTTTAACTCAAACCGTTGCAGTCTATCCGTCTTATAATGGCAGTCAATGGGCTCCACGGCTTAGAGTAAAAAAAAAAACATACACAGACAAAACAAATTAAACCCTGCAGCTCGTGACGATACATTGATGTGTAAAGACAAGAAACGATAGGTCTGTGCAAGAAACTGAACAGTATTTATATAATTTTTTACCTTCACAACATCTGGCGCGTGACGCGTGTACGTGCTCTGGCATAGTAGACATAGATATAAACAAGTAGATGCCTCACTAGTGACTGTTTCTAGGGGCTGCGATACTTTCAAAAATGGTGGACGCGTCAGCATATCTGGAGCGGTCGAATAGGACATCTATACATATCTATGATAGCAAATGTGCAGAAGTGATCTGTCACGTGTATACATCACTCATTATTTACACAGTGCAGAGAGATTGCGGACGTGTTCACTGGCACTGCGAGGATCTAAAGATATTTAGAAGTACAGGTCATCACAATGGAAGACGATTTTGATATATCATCAGACAATGTGGAACGTTTTTTTGCCCGACCGTATTTATTTGACGTCACGCTCCAGATGTTGTGAACACGCTCAGGACAGTTGGACACTGCGGTGGATCAGAGGTAAAAAATGATATAAATACTTGCACAGACCGATCGTTTCGTGTCTTAAGACCTCAATGTATCGTCACG